CAAAATAAATGATGATTTTAACTAAATTTCACAATATAAAATGAATAATGATTTTGTCATGGATAATGTGATTTTGTATATTGNTCAATGTTTTAGTTTCTAAATTGAGTAAATCAACAAAATAAATGATGATTTTAACTAATTTTCACAATATAAAATGAATAATGATTTTGTCATGGATAATGTGATTTTGTATATTGAAGAGAATTTTTAAAACTTTAGTTTATCATCAATACATTATGGACGAATTTTGAGATTTGAAATAACATCGTTTTTTAATTTAGTCTGTGATTAAGTTGAAATGTAATACCATAAGTTATTTTATGGTTTGTTGTTCATATGTTCTTTATTTTATGGTTTGTTGTTCATATGTTCTTTATTTTATGGTTGGTTGTTCATATTTTCTTTATTTTATGGTTTGTTGCTCATATTTTTTTTAATTTAAATGAAAACTGATTTTCCTGTTTTAATAGTAATCTAGTGTTGAATCCTAAAATATTTTTTCATGCTTGGAAATGTTTTGTATAAACTAGTAAAATTTTTTCCTGTAATAATTTGTCCCCTCTAATGGGAAATCCTAGCTCTGCCCCCAGCTTAAGGGGTCACCCTCCAATTGAACACCCAAGAACCTATGATAATCTAGATATATCATCATGTATAGAATTTATTCCAACAATCAAGCTTTTCTCCATATTTATTCTAAGACCAAAAATGAAAACAAATAAATCAACAATCTTCTTAAAATTCAGAAATTTCTGCTCATCCCTTAAGGAAAAGAAAATGATATCATCTATAAGTTGCGGATGTGACACCGATATCCTATCACTTCTAATTCACAAAATCCTCAACCAAATTATACTCTTTTGCCCTCGTCACAAGCCTACTCAAACCATCCACAACTAAGGTGAAAAAAAATTGTGATAGAGGATCACCTTGCCTAAGTCTCCTAAAGGTCTTGAACTTACCCAAGGCCTACCATTCAGAATGACTAAAAAATTCATGGATTGCAAGCACTCTTAATCCACATTCTCATCTCACTCCAAAACTTTAGATTCCAATATAAAACCTAAAAAATTTCAATCAATATGATCATAAGTTCTTTCAAAAGCCATGCTTCTAAGAGCAAATGATATACCAAGGAAACACCCCCAATGGAACAAGTAAAGTTTCGATGACCCACTTATGATATGACTTTTCCGTGAGTCAGTTAGATCCTTGAAACCGTTGATACCCTATAGTAGAAGGTGAATGCAAACTCTTTGCTCAATAGGGTTGTCCTTGGAAGAGATATTCAAAGCGGGAGCATAGATGTTTGGGCCGCCAGCCTACTCTTTCTTGTTTAGTAATCATTAAACACAATACCCTCCATCCCTTAAGCCCAATAATCCTCTACCACCTCATTGTTCAAAAGAGCCACATCCAAAATTTATCTCCCTTTCACAAAGGCACCTTGAAACTCTAAGATGGTTTTGTCCAATGTTATCTAGATCGTGGATCATTTTGATACGTAGTACGAGTCCTGGTACGTAGGACAGTACTAGAAGTAGTTGGTACACTATTTTGAGTCGTGATTTGTTTTGTAACTTTCAATNAGCACCTTGAAACTCTAAGATGGTTTTGTCCAATGTTATCTAGATCGTGGATTATTTTGATACGTAGTACGAGTCCTGGTACGTAGGACGGTACTAGAAGTAGTTGGTACACTATTTTGAGTCGTGATTTGTTTTGTAACTTTCAATTTCTAAATAGAACAATATATGCGTATACACGTAGTTAATAAATATTTATTTTATATTTTTAATAAATCTTGTCAAAATATGAGTTTAAAGAATACCAAAATAAAAAAATAACAAATTACAGTTATGATTTAGGGTTGGGATTATAATGTGAGATTACTAAGATCATGAATTGATTTACAGTTTGAGTTAAAAATTTGTGGTTAAGAATTTAAGCAATATGGATCGCGACCCTACATCATTTTGGGTCGTGTAACCCCCGGTTTGTGAAACGCTAGGGGTATCTACGATCCAGGTATCACTTTTTCCAAAACACACCCTAAGTCTTAATGACAACACTTTCGTAATGATTTCATACAAACTCCTTATCAAACTAATTGGCATAAATTCTTTATCCTTAAGGAATTTACTTTTTTGGGAATCGGCATGTGAACGTAGCAATTGCATTAATCACCCCTTTATCAAAAAATTCCACAAATACTTTCATCAAATCATTTTTAACCAAATCCCAACATTCTTGATATAAAGTCATAGTAAACCCCATCCAACCTAGGAGCTTTCTCCTTACTACATTCAAACATCATTTCCTTAACTTCCTCCACCTCAAAAAGTCTATCCATCCAACACACTTTTCTCTCATCAATAGAAAACCAATCAAGACCCTCCAACCTAGGCCTAAGGGGCTCGTGCGTGTAGTAGAACTTAGAAAATAAACTAATGATCTCACTCTCAATAGCATCCTCATCCTCAATAAATATCATGTCCTTAAGTTTCAATTTATCAATGATTTTCTTCTTCATATTCCCATTTTTCATTTTAGAAAAAATTTTGAATTATTATCCCTTTCCTTCACCCACTTTACTCTAGATTTTTGTCTCCAACTAATCTTCTCTCTGAACACCACCTCTTCAAATTTATTTCTAAGGTCTCATCTCTCTTCCCTCAAACTCCCATCTAATCCCCCCTTTCTTCAATTTTATCAAGCTCATCAATCCTCTCTAATATCCCTTTTTTTAAGACCTTGATGACACCAAACTCTTCTTTATTACACACCTTCAACTTTTGTTCTCCCATCCATTAAAAGTACCCTCCCCACCACTCCTTAACATTCCCCCTCACACAGGCATTATGTTCTAACCACATTCTCGAACCTAAAAAGACATGAACCCGACCTTACGACCCAGTTATGAACACCAATAAGACAATGATCTGACACCACACTCTAGGCAAAGCTTCCTCCCTGACACCCAAAAAAAACTCTTATTCAACCGAGAATAAAAACCTATCTAGCCTATTACAAATTAGACCACTTCGAAAACTTGACCAAGTGAAAATATCAGAGGATCTCTAATTCCAGCTTCCCTAATAAAAAAATCAAAATCCCTTATACTTTTGATAACTCTCCCCCCATTTAATTTTTTCAAAGGATATCTAATAACTTAAAATCCCCACCAACACACGAACGAAGGCTACAGATTGCAAACAACCCCGTCAACTCTTGTCACAACAACTTCCTCACCCTAGGTCTATTAGGTCCATATACACCAATAGCAACCCATCTCTCCCATCCCTATCTTTGACTCGATTTAAAATTGTAAATTCACCCTCAATGGACTCTTTTATTGAACACCTCTTCCTAAAAGACCTTAATCCGATTATATTCCAACTAATAATCTTTATGACAAATTAAAGTTCCCCATTCCACCTTCCTTGCACTCCCGCCCTTATAGTTAACCTCAAAATATAAATTCTTTAACTCACAAACCCCTTTTTGCTTTTTCACACTGCGTCCATCACTCTTAGTCTTCTCCTTCTTTTTCGTAGGAACTAAAGATAAATTCATCTCCCTTTAAAATTTCTTAAGGATAACCCACTCCTCATCAAATAATATACGTCTCTCCTTACCTGTAGAGATTCCCACACACTCACCTCTCATCTCCAAGTTTGTTCTCATCCCATTACCCTCATAGCAAACAATGGCCCCATTGGACACATCTTGTGAATTTTCTGGTGCAAAATTAACCCCGGAATTTCCATAAATTCCATTATCAAGACACAAATGTAAATCACTGGAAACCAATTTCGATTTAGCTACTGGGACCAACTCAGGACATTCTCTAATACCCATACACAGACACTTCATAAAAGACTCAAAAAGTCTTCCCTAAAAGCCCATGTTCACTTGACTAACATTAGAATTCCTCCCCAATAAAAAGAAACGGATTTCCCACCCCAGAAGAGGACTCACCACTTCCCATCGGATTCACAATAGGACATTGTACATACCTCCCCCCACCCCCACCCCCTTAGCACATTCAGATTACAAACCACCGTCACTACCCCCTATGGACAAAATCTTTATAGCCCACAAGGTCAGCCACATTTTGGTTCCCTCCAGATTTATGTATCCTTTTTTTCAAATTAATGAAATTAAACCCTTCCTTATCAAAACAAATACAATTAAATAAATTGTTTGATCTCCTCCCATCCTTGATGCCAGAATGCCTTTCATTAATCAATTCCTTGATTTCTCACTTAATTGATGCAATTTAATCTTCAATTTCATACATCTTAATGCCCTTAAATCTTGTTTGAATCTATGGCATTACATATTCAACATGGCTCAATCAAATATCCTTAATCAATGTCATGACTCAGTATTTTGCTATATCTCAATCCCTATGATCATAAAATACGTTTTTTCACCGTGTAATACAAATTTAAAAGAGAGAGATGTTATATATACAGTTATATAAAGATAGCCATTTACAGGTGCGCCATATATATATAGAGAGAGAACGTACTTTCTTGGAAGAATGTTTGGGAATTTTTGGAGCAGATTCAGAAGCAGTAGTACAATACTGTCTCGGTAAAATAGCAGCACTTGATTTTAGCTTGCGATTCAAGCTCTCTCTCATATATCTGATAGCAACCCTTGTTGTCATTTTCTTCAAAGTTTGCTTCTTTTCTATTCTTTTAGCTATGAACCCCAGTGACCGTTGATAAACGAAGATAAATAAATATGTTTGTGCGTGTGTGTGTGTGTGCGCGCGTGTGAGGGACAGGTAGTCCAGTGACCGTTGAAAAACGAAGGACTAAGCAAGACAACAACTCCGAAGGTTTGGTTGGTTTCTGTTGGAAACGAGGATGGGAGGGGTTTTAGCAAGAGGGGGGGGCTTTTGGATTTGGAGGGCTCTTGTTTACCCTTTCAAATTTTATTTCAATTCTGTGAGAAGCATAAATTACCCCATTCTATTATAGGAAATGGTTGAATTACAAATCAACTGGTTGGTTAAAGGGGCTGGCGTCGATTTGAATGGCTGTGGACGTCGGCGTCGAGTTCAAAGGCTTGGGTCTGGCGGAGATGAAGAGGAAACAAAAAAGCTGAGGCTAGGGTTTAGGGCTTATGGGAAGAGGAAGGCAAAGTAAGGGCTCAAGTTACTCGGGCTTGGGCTGGGCTCGGGCTAGGGCTCGGTCTCATTTTGAGATTGATTTCGAATTTGAGTTTAAAAATTTTTTTTAAATCGTTTAAAAAATGAACATAAAATGCTTACTCCGTGTTCGTAAAATTCGGTTCGTTTATATGTTAAATAGTAGAGTTACTCGGCTCAGTGCGGTCCTGTCTCGACTCGTTTTCGAAACGAACTAACGAGACAATTTTAAATAATTTTTTAGATTTATATAAAAAATTAAGTTCAACTCAATTACCAACTCTGGACAAAATGATCTTCATATTTAAAGTCAAAATTTTACAAAATTTTTATTGGAAAGTCGGATGATGCGGCATGCACACATCATTAGTCATGTCATCGAATCACTGTTTTCATGTCTAAAATTTAAGTTTTTTTAATCAGTAATGTTATAATTATCAAGTTTCTTATTATATTTTTTTATCATGCAATTTTTTTTTTATTTTAAGTGATGTGATATAGTTTTATACCATTAATATTACTCCCTTTATAATTTTTGAAATTTTGTGTTAATTTAATGATTCTTATATAANTATTATTAATCACTATTCTACTTTTCTAACAAAGAAAATAACCATATAAACCTTCAACCCAAAAAGATTATATACTTCCTTAACTTTTAGTTAATTGTACAACATGCCATCACAAATTGTCACTTCATATCAATATATCAAAACTGAAGGAAAAAAATGACTTAATTAATGGAATTATTCACAAATGGAAATGAAAACTTATTTATTTTATGGGTGAGGTTATTCTTACCTCACAAATTTCCTTTTTCACCTCGTTAAATTATAAATCATGAAACTACTAAAATCATCATATCTATATTCATTCTCATTAATAACTAAATCCACCATATTCTATACATACCCCATTAATAATAAAATTTATTTTGATTTTCTTATGTATAAACGGTGTGATTTGAGGAGAGAGGCTTGATTATCTTTTTTTTTTTCCTTTTTGAGAAACTTTAGATTCACATATACAATGAAAAATTGCATGTGAAGTAGATTTTTTTTCTCTGTGAATTCCTTCAATCGACGATCAATAAAATAAGAAAGAGAAGCACGGAGAGAAATCATAGTGCTATTGCAATAACGAGAGATCGAAGAAGATAGAGTTCGGACGACAAAAATTAAAGCAATTTGCATTAAAGAAACCTAGGGTGAAATTCAATTGAATATATTTTGTATATAGATTATGTGAGATGAATATTAAAAAAAAAAAAACTCTACAAGTGAAGATTAAAATAAGTTTTGTCATTAACAAGATAAGTATAGAATAAAGTAAACTTAATTACTAATGAAGAAGTAGATATAAATAGAGTGAACTTAATAGTTTTATAATTTAATGGAGTAAGAACATAGAGTTATTGAGGTGGAAATGGTGCCACCCTTATTTTATTAATGAAGTTAATGTTGTCCCAAAACTTGGCCAATCCGATCAAATTATTCATTGAATAATATTTATTTCTAAAAATCTAATTAATATTGTCCTTAAATTCATATCAAATCTGATTAACTTTGTTAATTAAATCAGATAAACTCAACACAAATCTAAATTAATTCTCCGAATTAAAATTAATTAATTAAATTTTATTCACTCCAACCTTGAAATATCATAACCCCCCGCCTTCAACCACCCCCACACAGCATAGTCCCCACCGACACCACAAACCAAAATCAAGAACACCACCAAACCACCCAAATCCACTATCACCATTGTGCTCAATCCACTACCCAAAACCATAAACCCCAGCCATCTTTGCACTGTCACCACCATATACACCCCAAAAGGCAGTATACAAGCTCCACAAATGCAATACCCAAGCCACAGCGACACCGCCACCACACCACACCACCAATGCTTCGCCAACCGCAAACCCAACTATNCTTTTGGATTTGGAGGGCTCTTGTTTACCCTTTCAAATTTTATTTCAATTCTGTGAGAAGCATAAATTACCCCATTCTATTATAGGAAATGGTTGAATTACAAATCAACTGGTTGGTTAAAGGGGCTGGCGTCGATTTGAATGGCTGTGGACGTCGGCGTCGAGTTCAAAGGCTTGGGTCTGGCGGAGATGAAGAGGAAACAAAAAAGCTGAGGCTAGGGTTTAGGGCTTATGGGAAGAGGAAGGCAAAGTAAGGGCTCAAGTTACTCGGGCTTGGGCTGGGCTCGGGCTAGGGCTCGGTCTCATTTTGAGATTGATTTCGAATTTGAGTTTAAAAAATTTTTTTAAATCGTTTAAAAAATGAACATAAAATGCTTACTCCGTGCTCGTAAAATTTGGTTCGTTTATATGTTAAATAGTAGAGTTACTCGGTTCGGTGCAATCCCGTCTTGACTCGTTTTCAAAATGAACTAACGAGCCAAATTTAAATAATTTTTTAAACTTATATAAAAAATTAAGTTCAACTCGATTATCAACTCTGGACAAAATGATCTTCATATTTAGAGTCAAAATTTTACAAAATTTTTATTGGAAAGTCGGATGATGCGGCATGCACACATCATTAGTCATGTCATCGAATCAATGTTTTCATGTCTAAAATTTAAGTTTTTTTAATTAGTAATGTTATAATTATCAAGTTTCTTATTATATTTTTTTATCATGCATATTCTTTTTTATTTTAAGTGATGTGATATAGTTTTATACCATTAATATTACTCCCTTTATAATTTTTGAAATTTTGTGTTAATTTAATGATTCTTATATAGCCACATTATTATGTCAGTAAATTTAATCAAATTTTTAGATTCAAAAAATATTACTCCCTTTAAAATTAACGAGACTTGAGCTTTTGTAATTTTTTTTAGTATAACATATTATCTTTAGACAGCAANATACAATGAAAAATTGCATGTGAAGCAGATTTTTTTTCTCTGTGAATTCCTTCAATCGACGATCAATAAAATAAGAAAGAGAAGCACGGAGAGAAATCATAGTGCTATTGCAATAACGAGAGATCGAAGAAGATAGAGTTCGGACGACAAAAATTAAAGCAATTTGCATTAAAGAAACCTAGGGTGAAATTCAATTGAATATATTTTGTATATAGATTATGTGAGATGAATATTAAAAAAAAAAAAACTCTACAAGTGAAGATTAAAATAAGTTTTGTCATTAACAAGATAAGTATAGAATAAAGTAAACTTAATTACTAATGAAGAAGTAGATATAGATAGAGTGAACTTAATAGTTTTATAATTTAATGGAGTAAGAACATAGAGTTATTGAGGTGGAAATGGTGCCACCCTTATTTTATTAATGAAGTTAATGTTGTCCCAAAACTTGGCCAATCCGATCAAATTATTCATTGAATAATATTTATTTCTAAAAATCTAATTAATATTGTCCTTAAATTCATATCAAATCTGATTAACTTTGTTAATTAAATCAGATAAACTCAACACAAATCTAAATTAATTCTCCGAATTAAAATTAATTAATTAAATTTTATTCACTCCAACCTTGAAATATCATAACCCCCCGCCTTCAACCACCCCCACACAGCNTATATATATATATATATATATATATATATATATATATATATAATAGAATAAATTATATTCACCTTCGCTAAGGTTTGATTAAATAATAACTAGATACCCTTATTATTAACCACTATTCTACTTTTCTAACAAAGAAAATAACCATACAAACCTTCAACCCAAAAAGATTACATACTTCCTTAACTTTTAGTTAATTGTACAACATGCCATCACAAATTGTCACTTCATATCAATATATCAAAACTGAAGGGAAAAAATGACTTAATTAATGGAATTATTCACAAATGGAAATGAAAACTTATTTATTTTATGGGTGAGGTTATTCTTACCCCACAAATTTCCGTTTTTACCTCGTTAAATTATAAATCATGAAACTACTAAAATCATCATATCTATATTCATTCTCATTAATAACTAAATCCACCATATTCTATACATACCCCATTAATAATAAAATTTATTTTGATTTTCTTATGTATAAACGGTGTGATTTGAGGAGAGAGGCTTGATTATCTTTTTTTTTTTCCTTTTTGAGAAACTTTAGATTCACATCTACAATGAAAAATTGCATGTGAAGTAGATTTTTTTTCTCTATAAATTCCTTCAATCGACGATCAATAAAATAAGAAAGAGAAGCACGGAGAGAAATCATAGTGCTATTGCAATAACGAGATCGAAGAAGATAGAGTTCGAACAACAAAAATTAAAGCAATTTGCATTAAAGAAACCTAGGGTGAAATTCAATTGAATATATTTTGTGTATAGATTATGTGAGATGAATATTAAAAAAAAAAAAAAAACTCTACAAGTGAAGATTAAAATAAGTTTTGTCATTAACGAGATAAGTATAGAATAAAGTAAACTTAATTACTAATGAAGAAGTAGATATAAATAGAGTGAACTTAATAGTTTTATAATTTAATGGAGTAAGAACATAGAGTTATTGAGGTGGAAATGGTGCCACCCTTATTTTATTAATGAAGTTAATGTTGTCCCAAAACTTGGCCAATCCGATCAAATTATTCATTGAATAATATTTATTTCTAAAAATCTAATTAATATTGTCCTTAAATTCATATCAAATCTGATTAACTTTGTTAATTAAATCAGATAAACTCAACACAAATCTAAATTAATTCTCCGAATTAAAATTAATTAATTAAATTTTATTCACTCCAACCTGAAATATCATAACCCCCCGCCTTCAACCACCCCCACACAGCATAGTCCCCGCCGACACCACAAACCAAAATCAAGAACACCACCAAACCACCCAAATCCACTATCACCATTGTGCTCAATCCACTACCCAAAACCACAAACCCCAGCCATCTTTGCACTGTCACCACCATATACACCCCAAAAGGCAGTATACAAGCTCCACAAATGCAATACCCAAGCCACAGCGACACCGCCACCACACCACACCACCAATGCTTCGCCAACCGCAAACCCAACTATTACCACTCTGCACTGTCCGCCTTAAACCCGAAATACCACCCACCCAATGAAACCCAATAAGCTCCTAAAACCACCCGAACAGAACCATCTCCCCTGCGGTTCACCCACCCGAATAGAACCACCACTCCCGTGGTTTAGTCGTAGCTTGGGGTGGGGGCGGTCATGGTGGCGGGATCTTTGGTAGGGATATGGATAATGCCATAATGGATTATTTGGCAACAAATTTAGTTTGGTTTGAGCAAATTTAACAACATTATTTAAAATAGTTATTCAAAATATATCTAAATATTAGATTATCTACTTTAGCTAATCATTTTTTTAAATTTATTTCAATCGCGTTATCTATTTTAGTTAACTATTTCAACTAATTTTAATTAATTTTCAATAATAAAATTTAAAAAATAACAATTCAACTATGTATAAATTTAATCAAATATAATAAAAGGTGGACTATAAGAGTAAATATTATAAAAGAAAAAGCAAGAGCTGAAGAATCCAGCTCCATCAAAAGCTACCCAGTAGCCTACTCTACTGCCAGCTTCGTCTACACCCCACAGCCACCTTATTCACAGATAGACAGTGGATAGCTGAAGACGGTGGACAGCAGAAATTTTGACAAAATTTCCCAAAAATATTTAATGGTGTTTCCTTTTCCTTGACTTATTTGGCCAGAAAATTCCCTATAAATAGGAAGTTTAGTAACGGCTAAATACGCACAAGATTAGTGAGGAAGAAAAAAGAGAGAGATTCGAGAAAGATTTCAGTGAGAATTTATGTATAAATTCTTGTATTTTATTTTCAGAGAGAAATAGAAATATCTTTTTTGTTTATATCTTGTTTATGGTATATTTATAGCCCTGGGTAACCAACAAGTGGTATTAAAGCTTCGGTTGGGTCGTCGGAAATTTTTCAAACTCATTGTTTTTTGGTTCGTACGAGTTCTAAACGAACTCAAAATCAAATTCTAAGCACACCATTGAATTCCTCTCGTCGAAACGAGTCGGACCCCATTGGCCTTGCATCAATCCGACATCGTACGCGCTCTCACTGTCCTCACCGAAAAATTCACCGGTAGTCGGAGCTCACTGGAGATCGCCGAAGTTGCTGCCTGAAGTTCGCCAAAAAATTTCGCCAGGTGATTGGAGCAAGGTTGAAGACGACGGAATATTCCACTCCATCAAAGCATATTCCATTCAGAGAATATTCTCAAAGCATATTCCATCCAGAAAATATTCCCAAAGCATATTCCATCGTTAACATATTCCGTTAAGTTTAACGGAATATTCCGTTAAATTACCAAAAAAATTTCGAGTCAATTCTGCGCTCATTTTAGCTCCGTTTTTTGTAAAGCATAACTCTTTTCCAGAAATTTCAACCGTTGTGGACGCAACGGTGCACTCCGTTTTGCAAAATTCAGTTCCAAGCTCATACGGATAAAGACAAGCGGATGCAAGCCATGCAGGATGAGATGGATTCTCTACAGACAAGTCAAACCTATGAGCTTGTGAAACTTCCAAAAGACAAGAAAGCACTAAGGAATAAATGGGTGTTCAAGCTGAAGAAAGATGGCAGTAAAAAATTGGTGAAATATAAGGCTCGATTGGTCGTTAAAGGATTTCATCAGAAGAAAGGAATTGACTTTGACAAAATTTTCTCACCAGTTGTTAAGATAACCTCAATTCGAGCCATTCTTGGAGTAGTAGCCAGTTTAAACTTGGTGCTTGAACAAATGGACGTGAAAACTGCATTTTTTCATAGAGATCTAAGTGAAGAAATCTATATGGAAAAACCAGAAGGTTTCAACGTTCCAAGAAAATAGAATCTGGTCTGCAAGTTGAATAAGAGTCTGTACAGCCTCAGGCAAGCACCTAGACAGTGGTATAAGAAATATAACTCATTCATGGTGGGTCAAGGTTACAAGAGGTCTACTGCAGACCAGTGTGTTTACGTTAAGAGATTCTCGGATGGTAATTTCGTTGCACTCCTACTTTATGTTGATGACATGTTGATCTTCGAAAATGATGCAATAAAGATTAGCCAATTGAAGAAGGAACTGTCCAAGTCCTTTGACATGAAGGACTTAGGCCCAGCTCAGTAAATACTAGGC